GCTAGCAGGGTACAGCAGTACACATCAGTCATCCCAGCATTCTGGAGGCTGAAGGAGGAGGATCGAATGATTGAGCCCAGACTGAGCCACTTGGTGACCTAGCAAGACCCTATCTTGAAACAGAAAATTTAAAAAGAGTTGAGGATGTAGCTCAGGGCAAAGGTCTGGGTTCTCCGATAGGACCAAACAACAAATTAGTGTACTATCAATGATATGTAAAAGGAAAATCTTTCTTATTTATTTCTTATTTATTTGTCTGTTTGTTTACAGAGATTGTAGCTTGTGAAAGGCAGAGTGCTGACTGACAAGCCTGTAGTTTTGAGATATACCTCAAGTACGAAATGTTGCTAAAAATATATATACATCTGTATTGAGCTGTGCCTCTTTGGGCAGGTTTTGACTTTTCACTTGGCATGCAAAAAAGCTGTATGTGACAAACTATGTTCTTGCATCAGAAAAACATGAAAAAAAGATATTAGTTACTGTACCGAAAAACACATAGGAACACATTTTTTTTTTTTTCTACCGGGGATCGAACTCAGGACTTTATGCTTGTGAGGCAGGTGGCAGCACTACTTGAGCTAAATCTCTGGCCCACAATTTAAATTCCTAATGTGATTTTTTTTGTTGTTTTTACATAACTTGATGCATATGTCAGCCTTCACACTAGCATTGAGGTCCTTTGCAGCCCATTCTTGGGTCTCTTTCTTTATAAAACAGTACTAGTGGTTAACAGTTAGCCAGCCTTATCTTCAATCTCGGCAAGAATGGTTTAAAGTAAATACTGAAATTGCTTCTTTCGGCCAGAAAAAAAAAAGGCTAATTCACCGAGTTTCCTGCTTGTTCACAAACCAAGTTATGGGCCTCCAGAACCTGAAGCTGGAGACAAGTGTGCAAGCTCTGAGGCAGGGGCAGAGAGAAGAGCCTCAGTCATAATGGACCTTGCGCTTGGCCACCTCCGAGCCAGACAGGTCTCCATTGCTGAGGGCCTGGAGGGGTGAAGGAGGCCTGTCCTCCACAGCACACCTGGTCACATTCACCATGTACTTCCGAAAGGCCTTCTGAATAACAGCAGCACCTTCTTCCTCGGCCTTTCTCTTGGTGGTGGTGACGATGGGCTCATACAATTTCTTGAAAGGGTTGGCTTCCATGAACTTCTCCTCCATCATGGTTTTCATCGTATCCAGGCCACTGGACTCACCAAGGACCTTGGTGGTGAACGCAAAGAGAATGTCCATGCAGTGGAGACGATCTCCACTGACCATAGGCAAGTCCATCATTAGAAACTGGAATTTATTTGGTTTTGCCACACGCAAAGGCTCAGGCAGGGCATCAGCAAAGTCAGAAAGGGCGGAGTATTTGATAAACTGTGTTGCTTCCGGGTCAAACTTCTCCCAGACCTCATAGAACATTTCAAAGTCATCTTCGCCCAGAGGCTCCTCACTTTCTTCAGTGGCTACGTTGAAGTTCTCCAGAATCACAGCAATGTACATGTTGACAACGATGAGAAAGGAGATGATGATGTAACTGACAAAGTAGGCTATGGCTATACCATAGGGGTAAGGTTTTCCTGGGGGGCTCGGGCCCAGCATGGGGTTAAGGAGAGCATCCCAGCCTGCTGACGTGGTTATCTGGAAGAGACAGAGCATGCTGCCAGCAAAAGTGTCAAAGTTGAATATATCATCAATTCCACCTTTTCTTTCCATTTTGCAAAAGTAGTTCATACCAAAAATGGCATAAATAAACATAACCAGAAAGAGCAGAAGACCGATGTTGAACAGAGAGGGAAGGGACATCATCAGTGCAAAGAGGAGAGTCCTGATTCCTCGAGCTGCCCGAACGAGTCTCAGGATGCGGCCAATTCGAGCCAAGCGGACAATTCTGAAGAGTGTTGGAGGAAAAGGGATGGTGTTGTTTTTTCCCACTAAGGTAACCATTGTACCTGGAGAAGAAGGGTTGATGAATTTCCATTAGGCACTTTGGTTTCAAACCCAGACCTCCTTCTGCCTCAGAATCCTACAAGGGCCAACTTTTTATTAATATTTGGTAAACTGTACACAAAATGAAGAATTTTCTTTCTGATATCTATCAGTACCTTAACTTGAAAAATAATTTCCAAGACAGGACTTTCAATAGGATAGAATGCATAAAATATTGAAGATGACCAAGGAAAAGAATGCAGTTTATGAGTGGCTATTTTGCAAATTATCTCATGTACTTGAAGTATATTATCCATGTTGGATTTTTAAAAGCCACTTATGAGGTAACAAACACAGTAGTTCTCCATATAAAAAGGAAAATAGGTGAACTACACATTGAATCCTTTAGATTAGCATACAGGGAGAAATCTCTGCTATTTAGAGGGTGGCCTGAGCCTGTGTTGCCAGCTGAAATTGTAGAACCGTTAATTCCAAAGTTCCTTAAAAGGGACCAGATTTTTATTTGCTTAGAGAAATTTCAGTACAGCTCTGCTATAGGTGAGAGAGCTTATTTGATGAAAGGGCCAGCATATGTGTAGGATGGAGGGAGGTCGTAGTACTGGGATGCCCATCTTTAGATTAAGATTGCTTGTGAATCTCACATTTGTCAATATGTTTGCTCCAAGGACTCCCAAGTCTAATCTTACAAAGTTTACGGTCTGAAATTGAGAGATACCCTATCGCAGACACCCCAGAAATGGCATCTCAAGCAAAGCTTTGGGAAAACAGCTGGATATTTGGCCTAAAACGTCAGCTGCTCTCTACAGGCAGGTGACACAAGGATTTAAAGTAACTCACATTTTGGCTCACATCTTATAGAGTGGCTGGGGCGTGCCGGACTTCTATAGACACGGCTTTGTTCTTGTTCTAAAGGCCTTCTAAGGTAATCAAGGGTCACAGGCAGTGGAAATGCTGCCACCATCACCCAGTGACAAAAAAGTTCTAGTGCCAGGGATTTAGCTCAGTGGTTCCGCTGCCTGCCTTGCAAGCACAAGGACCAGAGTTCGATCCCCGGTACCAAACAAAAAAAGAGAGT